GTTCCAACCAATACGTTGTTGATTACAGGAAGTGGGAAGAGGAGAATCTGCACCCAGAGGACGTATGTTACTCTGATATATATTACATTTACAATGCAAATTTGTTCTTGTTCTCCCTTTCTCTCTCTGGGAGACTAGTTCTCATGTTTTTTTTAGATTCAACTGCTAATAGGCCCTTTTCACATGACGTCACGCAACTTCCGTTCTGACGCGAAGCAGGGGATTCTTACTTCCGCCAGCATAGTAAGCGCTATCGCTACCAGCATGGAGTTCACCCAAACGCTTGTACAACTGCCACAAATACGATTAGAGGATGACTGCTGCTCTCTATTCTCGTCCTCATTCAGGGAGAGGCGTCTGCCATCTCAAAATAACTTACCGAATACCGATCGGTGAGATTTGCAGCTTGAAGTAGTTGAAAATGGAGCACTGCAGTCACTGATTCCCGCTACTCTCGCGCACTGTTTGCTGTCTTTATTGCAGTTTGATGAAGTTGGTTAGATATATTTCTCAAATAAACAAACGTTTTAGACATTTACATGTGGTAACCGAAAGCCTTTTCATTCAGTAATTTATGTCCTGCAGAATACAGCGCCTGTATGTACAAGAATAGTTCAACATAAGCTTGTACTATTTAAATAGCAATAAAATGGGGTCTATAATTTTCCTTTTTATTATTTAATGTAATTCAGAAATAAATATTAAATATATTAATTTTATATAAAAAGCTTTTACAGTTAAAACCAGATGCCAGCATTTGTGTAAATAAATATAAAACGCAGGTCATAGCTGTTTTTTAAAGATCACATTGCATATAGCCTATAATGAAAATAAAATACGATCGATCATATTAATCAATAATAATTCAAAAAGTAAAAACATGGTATACATGTAGTTAAAGCGAAATTGAATGGAGGAATTTAAGTAATTGTAGAAGTCCAAAGTTCTGTAGAACTACGCGGCTGTCCTTTTTGTATTGTTTCAATATTAAGCCATATTCTTGAACTGGATAATGAGTTTCTTTTCAGACCACTTGCCTTTATGGATGTGAAACTTGCCATGTAGTAAAACGATTTAATATAAAAAAAATATGACTTGTGTCCATGTCATTTCCCCATAGTAAATAAAAACAAAATCACGTTGTGTGTCTTTTTATTGCCGAACTATACGGGGAATTTAATTTACACAGTGTACTCACAAATTATCCAAGGAATGACATAAACCGAAATAACAAGTGAAAAGGTTTCAAGTATGTATTTCG